TCTGTATCAGCTCCAGGCGCGTCTGTTCGTCACAAAGTATACCGTCTACTTTGAATAGTTTCTGCGCGATAAATGTTTTGAGCTCCGAATCCTCATAAGCCTCCTAACAAAATGTTCGTAAGGGTTACATTTTATGAAAATCAAGAAAAGCTTACAAGGCGTTTTAAAAGAGCTCTGTCAGTAAAGTGTCGTATCCATCGTTCAATCAAACCGCCTTTTTGAGACTGAAAACTTATACTTATATACCAAACTGGGAAAGCTAGCTGCATTACAACTACCTCGAAAATCTCCTTTTCTCTTCTTGCTTTGCGATATCCGTCCACAAAGTTCTCATCGATAATAGCGTCCTGAAATTATTTATTTATATGCTGTATTCGTACTCTCATATTTTTGCCAGTAGAGCTGACTGACCCCTTGTCTTTTTTCTCCAGCAAGTCGCAAAAATTCAAAAATACGAAAACGTACATTAAGCAGTCAGATTCACATTTTTGAAAGCACAAAACTATAGATGAGCTTGGACATGCATGTATTTTGCACTAACATTTTGTTAAAAAACCAATGAATGAAAGATGCTTGGAGCATTCTAGAAGAACTCAAACGAAAACAGCATCACTTGCATTTCGACTATCGGATTTCTAATTTCAATTATGAAACGCAATAAACCTTGGATGCTCACATGAAATTCAACACTGCTGGCAATTGAGGCTGTGTCAACTCTCGTGGTCTTGCGCGAGTGCATCTCTTCTGAAATGACAAAAAAAATGACGCTCAGCGGGATGGCTATCATGAAAACAAACTCTCTGGGTGTAAATGTACGAAGAAACGATCGAAAAGGAGCGGACGGATGCTCGTTCTGTAGAATGGCAGCACCATCGATTTGTGGACAAAACAGATCACCGTAGATTTCATTGGTTTTGATCCACATTCTTAAAAGCGATAACACCAAAGTTGTTGTTCTGTCGAATAAAAAGTGGTATAGCGATTAAGACATGTTACCACATTTCTTCCTTGAAATCAGGATGACACTAGCTGGAACCACAGAGATTTTGTGGTCTTTTTGATTTTCAGAAATCCCACGAAGTTCCTTTCGATCCTTTTGGGCTTCCTTCCCCCACCATTCACTACTTCTCACTTACCTTTTGTGCTTGTGTCGTCGCTCACTCCCGGATAGATGGTCTAAGGGAAAACTCCTTCCTCTATCATTTATTGAACAGAAAATTTCAAAAATTGGCATTACTTTCCGCATGCGCAGAACGCGTTTTACTAAATAATTGGGCACTGT